TATTTTTCAAAATTGTTCATAGTGCCGATATACTACATATTCTTTGTCATTTAAGAGGTAAATATATGCTATTTAGTATGTGCACTTTTTGTTATAAGACATAAGACATACTTGATCTTGACCTTTGCCCTACTTCGCAAAAAATACCCTGGGCTGTTTAATTCAACTTTGCAGGCAAATGCATGAACTATCATGCTAAAAGTAAATTTAAAAAAAAAGTGACCATTCTTCGATTTATTCACATCTTTAATAATCAAAGCAGGCGACACATGCGTTCCTTGGAACACTCTAGTTATTTATGTTATCAATAAGAGATTATACAAAAATAAAAAAAAATAATATCACCATATGTGCACTTTCTAACAAAAAAAAAAACCATATAGACTGGTCTCTGCTGTGGCCTATATTAATTATAGAGTTTTCTTTCAATTTCTTTATAGTGGAACCCAATGTCTCTAAGAAGAAAAAAATTGTTGTATCAATCTGTATTTATCATAACTTATTTTTATCAATAAACATATATTTCCATTTTTTTTCTTTTTTCTTTTTTCTTTTTCTTTCTTTCTGTTTTTTTTTTATATTGGACATTTAGACATAATTAATAAGCTTAGCTTAATTTCAGAGTCTGTGAAAATATCCCGAATCTAAGAATAATACAATCGTATTTTTATATTGATTAGGGAAAATCATTATGTTTCCACATTGTTCTGAAATACATTACAGTGTAATTGTTGATTTAGCTTATAGAATAAAAAATATGGATTATATATATTCCAAAGGTATTTTCTATCTCCGCTTCTCTTTACAGTATATTCATCAGACCTTATCATAAGCTATAAATACAAACGCATAAACTTACATTAATAAGCTTGTAAATGTATGTAAATTTCATGATGTTTTGTTCGAATGTGTAACATTGCAGACGATCCTTCTTCGGAATATTGTTAAGCTAACAGTTTCAAGCTTCGCATGACCGTTGTCTTTGGGTTCGCAATTCTATGATGAAGTTTGATAAGAAATGTATCCCACCTTCAATGTTCCATTTTCTTTTTATCTTTTGATAGTTGTGATATTAAAAAGAAAAACAATTATTGTAATAAATAATTCTCCAGCAAGGGAAAAAATCTTTTATTGTTATTATTCTCCAGTACAGAATAAAACAGGTTTGAGAAAAACATATGACTCATACCTTTTTATTTTACTAGCAATTTCATTAGCAAAGGCATTTTTATGTATGTCAAAAGCAACACGATCAACAACCTGCTATACGTCATTAATCGAACCCAGTAGTTAGAGAAACATGCATTACTATACATAAGTTATTTATATCAAGTGACAGTTTCACCGCTCGTACACACGGCATTTGGCATAAAATATACATGATGCATTTTAAATACCTACCTTAGATTTGTTTGAACGGCAATTAGTTATTACTTAACCCGGCGTCTGTTGGAGACGCATTACAATTCACCAATGTTCTTGTTGCTCTTGATCGGATTCAAATTTCAGTCGCACATGATCATATTCTAACAAGCAGAAAATACACAAAAATTTCACGTCGTTCATAACCCATAACATTTCTCACTTTCTGAATTTGACAATCCCTTATCTCAGCGAGATTCGTAGGGACGAAAACTTTTGGTCTGGTGTCCCTACGAATCTCAGACTAGTGTCACATAATCTCATTCGGGATTTCGTTCCCGGACTTCGACCGCTTGTTTCAATCAATACGACCTAAAATGAATTAGCTGCCCGCTTCATCTTTTTCCTTTGGACATCCTTTTAAGTCTCTATCTCTATAAAACTTTCGTTTCTTACCTTTAAAAGGTTCAAATCCAACAAAATATAAAGTTGTTGATTTTTCATAGTAATATCCTATTCGTTTAAACCTCCGATGCTGAAGAGGTCTAGCAATGTTCTGCTTAAAATTAATTAACGTTGGTCATTACTTTGGAATGGTTGATGCTAGGGCTTTCAAACTTCACATATGCAATCCTTATGACATCACCTTCCTTTGGATACCAACCACTTTGACCCTTTGACCTTGACAAAGGAGTTTGACCTACTTTTGAAAACTTTAACCTTGGCCATAACTTTTGATTGGTTGGTGCTGGAGATTTCATACTTCAAATATGTAATCCTTGTGACAAGACCTTAATTTGGATACCAGCAGGTTTGATTCTTTGACCTTGACATAGGAGTTTGACCTACTTTTGAAAAACTTTAACGTTGGCTATAACTTTTGAATGGTTGGTGCTAGGGCTTTCATACTTCACAGGTATATTTCTTGAGGCAAGACCTTTCTTTGCGTACCAACATTTTTTTTATCTTTTGGCCTTGATTTTGACTTGCATTTGAGAAACTTTAACCTTCGCCATAAGCTGCCATACGGGGGCATCAGTGTTTCACAAACTCATCTTGTTTTTTGTCTCTGATTCTTAATAATATTTTATTTGATTAAAGTTTGTTCAAATAATTGCCCCAAGGAGTAGGAGGGGGTCACCCTCTGGGATAAAAGTTGTACATGGGAATACATGTATATAGGAAAAAATCATTAGAAATATTCTTCTCAAGAACAGTAAAACCATAATAAGTCAAATTGATATAAAAAAGAAGCATGCTCGGGTAATGTAATTTCAAGCTTGTTCAAATCATGACCTCCGGTGCAACAGTTGGACTACAATAGGCAATCAAAATTTACAGAGAAGTATACAGGGGAAAAATCTTTAAAAACATTCTAGAACAGCAAGATCAAGACTAGTCAAATTGATATTGAAGCATATTCAGGGAGCGTAGATTCAAATTTGTTCAAAGCATGACCTCCGCGAGGTGAGTGTGGGGGTAGGGGGAGGGTTTGTTGACAATGGGAGATCAAGGTTTTATGTCGGAATATATAGAAAAAATTCTTTAGTTAATATTCTCAAGAAAAGCAAGGCCATCCCTGATTAGTCATATAAATATGGAAGCATCCTCAGGTAGTGTAGATTCAAGTTTGCTCTGGGGGTAGGGTGGGGTTACTAGAGATAGAGAGTCAACGTTTTTGAAATATAACTTGTGATATTAGTCTATATGATATTAGTATAGTTCATTTGTCAATCTGGACGTAATACTCTACAGACTTAATGGCTAGTAGTAGGGACTTGATCGGAAGACCCGGGTTCGATTTTCGTTCGCCGCACCGCATTAAACTTAAAGCTTAAACATAGGTAGTGACCGTTCCTTCGCCAAGCGCCCGGCATTAAATGTGAAAGTCACGAGTCTTTCGGATGAGACTTTAAAAACCAAGGTCCAAGGTGTCACGGTAGGCGTTGGAACGATAACCCACACTGTTCAATTGGCCTATAGGTTTAAATCTGAAACCCTTCACCAGTTTAGGCTGAGGTCTATATGAGTGAAAAAATTCTCCCAAAAATAATGCTCCAGATGATATTAACTCTTATCAATTCAAACATGTGGATGTATTATGTACTTATGTAAAAGAATAAAAATCTTGAATTCTCGCAAAGAAGCAAACAAGATCGAAGATTCTTTCTTTTCATATTTTTTGTCTGTTACGCATGCATGTGTTTGGACAAGGCACACTTTGTTTTTTGTTTGAACTATTTCTTAATTTCTTATATTTTCTATCTATCTATCTAAATATATATATATATATATATATATATATATATATATATATATATATATATATATATATATATATATATATATATATATATATATATATATTCTATCTATATTTTTTATTGGTGCAGTGGTTATATAAAAGCGTTTGCTCTAGAGTCGCGGAGTAAGAAGTTGATCCTTAAGTCGTGTGTTCGAATCCCACTGCTGGACGTGGAGACCAGTCCTCCGGATGAGAACCAAGGTCACTTGTCGCAGTAGGTGCTGGCACGAAAAGGATCCTTAGCTGCTCAATGGCGGTAAATTTTCAGTCCTCTACCGGCAAGTGGTGGTGTCTCAATATGAGTAAAAAAATTCTCAAAAGAACTTTAAACAAACAAAACAAATAAACAAATATATTCTCTATCCTTTATGTATATTTATTGCTTCTGAGGTATCTAGAAATACAATATGTTTCACTTAGAAAAAGATGTTTGCTTTTAAAATTGTTCGATTCTCAGTCGTAAATATTTTTGTTTGTTTGTTTGTATGTTGTTTAACGTCCCTCTCGAGAAATTTTCACTCATATGGAGACGCCACCACTTGCCGGTGGAGAGCTGCAAATTTTCTCCTATACTCGGCACTTATGGCCATTGAGCAGTGAGTGATCTTTTTCGTGCCAGCACCTACTACGACACGGGACCTCGGTTTATACGGTCTCATCCGAAGAACCGGTCTCCACGTCCCACAGTGGGATTCGAACCCGCGACGTAAGGATCAACTCCTTACTTCGCGACTCTAGAGCAGACACTCTAACCACCGGCCACGCAGGCGACGTAAATATTTTTGTAGTAATTCCTTAGAACACAGAGATAAAAATGAAGTTCAGTTTATCTTTATTCTCTCTTTAGACCATCTTCAATTTCATTTGCAGTTTATAATTAAAGTTTCTAAAAGACGAAATAGAAAAGAAAATAGAGGGGGAAAAAAATAAAATAAAATGATTTAGAGAAGAGTTACACATAAAACACTTCAAAGATTAATTGAAAGAGGTATGTTGAAAAATTATCTTTTTGGAGGTTTAATTCGCATTTTACATATGGCGTTTTACATGTACATGAAGCCGCCAATTTTCAAAATAATTTTCAAGTATTAAAGACTTATTTATATTAGAGAGTTATTTTTTGATATATAAAGAAATGTTTCCTATTTTGTTCATTTTGATATATTTTGTATTTACTACCCTTCGATCAATTCAAATTACTCAAATGACAGAATGCACAAAGTATAATGGAAAAAGTGTATAATGATTTGCGAAAAACAAATAATTAAAAGTAATATTAGTAATACAAAGTATTCACATAACTACGAATGGACTTCATTCATCACAGTCAGAACTATTTGAAAGGATTTATCCAACTAAAAAATCTAGAAATTCCATCTTTGATTTTACTGAAGATGCCTTTTTCTTTCTCAATTTCCGTTCTTATAGTATCCCTAACGTTTTCCTCCATTCCTCTAAATCTTTGCTCTGTTTCTGCTTTCATTCTCATTCTTTCCTCTTCCTCTTCTCTTCGCATCTTTTCCCGTCTTCTTTCTTCCTTTTCTTTCTTTTCTTTCAATTTTTCAATTTCACGCGCATCTTTTTCCGCGTTTGCTTTATTAACAGCTAACTCGTTTTGCATAAATTCCAACGTTTTCTTTATTCCATCTCTTTCCTCCTCCTTGCTTTCTACAAGTTGTTTTTCTAAATCTTTTACCTTTTCTTTTAAACGTTCTGATTGATCTTCTTCTTGTCTCTGCTTCCAGATCAGTTCATCAAGTTTGGATTGTGCTTCTCTAAACCTTTCTTCTTCCCTTGCAAATTTCGCTTCGTATTTTTCGGCTAATTTCTTTTCTATGGCCTGGATTTCTTTATCTCTTTCTTCTTTTGCCCTTTTCAGTTCTTGTGCCTCCCTTTCTTTGATAAGTCTTTCAGCTTTTACATACATTTCATTTGTGTACCATTTGCCGTTATTATTCTCTACGTTTTCCAAAATCATTGATAACAACTCTACGACTTGCCCGTCCATTTCTTCGCCCTTTAGTCTATTGTTGAAGGCAGTTACTCTTCCACCACATTTTTGAATGAATAATTGAAGTTCTGGTGGAACTGTCTGAATATGCTCCAATAGTGTTTTCCCTTCTTCGTCTAAGTCATCCTTGCGGGTGAATAGAACGATAAAATATCTGTATATATCTTCGCCAAAATGTTTGACAAAATGCATGACGGAATTGTGTTCTTCTTCTGTGTATCTAGTTAAGGATAATACAAGAATAAATGCGTGGGGACCTGGTGATGTAATGCTAATGCATTTAACTATTTCATTCTGAATTATTTCTTGTGAATGCCTTGTATCAAAAATCCCAGGTGTGTCGACAATTAATATTTTCCTGTCAAATCTGATAGCGTGCTTTTTGGAACATTTGCTCGTCACCGATGACCCCGAAAGACTGGATTCAAACATTTTCTCTCCAAGAATAGTATTCCCTGAGGCACTTTTCCCGCTTCCAGTTTTCCCAAACAACACAATCCTGATTTCTTGGTCCATCCAATTTCCAATGCATTTTTTATAATTACCCCTAACTGGAAAAAAATGAAAATTGCGAATAAATCCCCTTACAATCGACATAGAAATGAACTTTAGGAAATGATAAGTAGAAAATTTAATCATAAGAAGAGTTGAAAAAAAAAATTAAGTATTCATTATAGAGTACAATTAAACCTACAGTGTGGTCCTTTTTTTATTTACACGAACAAAGCAATAGTAGAAAGCAAAAAAGAAAATGTGGTTGTGCACCTTCTTGGGAAAAAAATTTTACATCCAGAAGATTTCTTCAAAAAATTATAGCTTGTTTATTTGAACATTTTTCTATTTGTGATGATTATTCAAAAACCTTAATTTTCATTTCAGTGATAGTTACTTAAGTACGAAAGCTTTCAAAAATTCTTATCTTGAAATTCAATTTTGCATTATTTTGATATTAATCGCAATTACCTTTACCTATCTGTTCATTTTTAAATTGTTTACCCTTTCATTTATAACTTCTTCTGAAAGTTATATAAATCAAATGTGGATTCTCAAAAACTCAAATAACTTTAAGAAAAATTTTAAGTCGATCACCATTTTTTTAAAGGCAATAACATCGAAATATATGCATTTTCTACAATTTATACAACTATTCCTCACGATGAATAAAAAACTTGTTTTTTTCATATTTCAAACAACTGCTATAGTTATAGTTATTTCCATTCATATATCGACTCCATATATCCCATTGAAATTAAAGGCACCACATTGTCTGTCACATCTATTTCAAATCGTTATGTTTTACTGACTATAGACGATAAGGCCCAACTAACAACTAAATTGTTTGACAGTCGGGATGGCTTCGGCTTTTACATCGTCATTTTTTTCTTATTTATGAAGTAATATTCCGCTATCACCTGCATGTGATATTTATGTCTCCCAACTTATTCGATACCCAAGAGCATGCTCTTAGTATAAGACAAAATGGTTATTATGCAGTTAAATTTTTTTGCCCAATATTATCTTAAACGGTATAGTTTTGAAAATTTTTAAACATGATCGTAAGTCGACAATTTGTAGGCAGGCTTTTATATACTAGGATGATGCTGGCTACATCTCTAGTAAAGTGCTTGCTTTTCCAACTTTGAAGACATTTAAAATAATCACATGCACTGGTATTCCCCTTCGTTAATTAAACATGAACTAAATTAGTTATATTTTGCATTAACTTCGTTTCTATCCCCCTTGCTTATATTGTTAAGTCATTGTTGTTATTTACATATGACCTGAATCCATGTTACTGTATGATGAATTTTACCTATTAAATACCTTCCGCCAAAAAAGTCATATTTTGACCTTGCATTTACTATTCTCAGGGACCTATTTATCTAAGTTTACTATGATATAGCAAGTATTTGAAATTCTATGCGCATAAGAGGCAAATGTCCTCTGAAATTAAGAGAAAGAGAAGTCGTTGATCGCAGACTTATGCAAGAAGCCTTTTGTGCCCTCCCCCCCCCCCCACCTCTTTAGACAGGGGCCATGATTTGAACAAAATTGAATCCAAAGGATGCTTTCATATAAATACGGTGTGAATCATGGCTTTGTTCTTGAGAAACAAGGGTTTTTTTTTCCCTTTAAATTCCTATGTAAAACAAGGATCATCTGTTCTGACCCCAACTTACACTTGGGAGTTAAGATTTCAACATACTTGAATCTACACCATCTGATGTTGCTTCCACATTGATGTGATTAATCATGTTTTTTTTTTTCTGCCCGTGAGAAGAGGACTGTTAAAGATTTCCCTACATACTCCTATATAAAATTTGAATGCCCAACCAATCTGCCGGGGACTATGATCTGAATAATTAAAAATCTACACTACCTCAAGAAGTGTTCGTGAAAGTTTCATCTTTTCTGTTACAATGATTCTTGAGAAGATTTTTTTTTACTTTTTACTACATATTTCAATGTTTAAGTTTGATTATCTATTATGGCCTAATCTTTGCCCCAGGGGTCATGATTAAACAATTTTAATCACACTACCTCAGGAACCTTTCACACTTGTTTCATCTTTTCTGGTATAGTAGTTGAAATAATTTTTTTAATGACCCAACCCTATTTTTGCCTTTTCATGATTATCTCCCCTTGAAAGGGGGCTTAGCCCTTTTCTAACAATTTTGAATCACCTTTACCCAAGGATACTTTGTACCAACTTTATTAAAAATTCGCCCAGTGGTTCTTGAGAAGAATTTGACCGATAGACATACGTACGCAGAAAACGGGTGATCAGTACAGCTCATTTGAGTTTTCAACTCAAACTGGCTGAAAAGACTAAAAGGTCTTTCAATTAATTTATTATTATTATTATTATTATTATTATTATTATATATATATATATATATATATATATATATATATATATATATATATATATATATATATATATATATATATATATATATATATATATATATATATATATATATATCAAATTAGGACACTGAAGAGCGTTGAAGCTTTGTGATTGCTAGTTTATGCAGTATGGGGTGACGTAAATTGCTGTCTTGCTTCACATTTATGGAAAGCCAACGGTTTCAAAATTACAAACCCTGTAGTTCCTAAAATGTAGTCATGAAAACCTTTATTTGTTAATTGTAAATCATAATATCATATTTTGTTAATTGTTCTATCACAACTTATTAATTGTACCTATCCAACAGAATTTGAGAAATGTAAATGCAAGCCATGTAAATGCTCATGTGTAATTCGTAAACTTGCATTTTGTCAGCTTGTCAACTTGTGACATGTAAACTGTACTTTCGTGATGTGTATATTATGCAAAGTTGCATTATGCTAACACTTATTAAGACGAATGAGGGCGCTATAAGGGTGGCAAATCAATTCGTTGCTTAATTATTTTCCACTTTTTTCTACCACAAAAAAAAGGCTGAAAAAAGTTTATAAATTAATTTTATTTCTGTTCTCAAGACTGTTTGTAAATACAGTCAAACCTCGTTATCTCGAGCTCAATGGGACCGAGAAAAAACCTTCGAGATAACCGAGGATTTGGGCTTCACAGGATTCGATCACGTGACCAACCAAGTTCATTTCCCAGAGAACTTTTTAACATTGTTGTTTATTTCTTAATAGTATCATTTTAAATGTATAGTCAATACCTCACTTGAAGTCATCATTTCGTAAATTCTATGATCGTCATAATGACCTTGTTGAAAAATATAGCCTATCATTGGGTCGTATTTTGACTGACATGTTTCAAACGAATTGTAGGGCCTTTATTTTTAAACAAATTTTGATTACTGAATGTTAACTCTATCTGATCACTACATACTGATCACGGCGGTCAACAGGGGATACTTACTCCTTCTAGGCACATGCTCGAACCTCTGGAATTCCCGGTAGTCCGTATGCTATGCCCTGTTCACAGATTTGAATTGTTTGCAAATTTTTTTTTACATCAATCACTGTTCGTTATTTTCACATTTATCATGAGGTATTTCGAGGACTTTTTTTTCAATTAACAATAGCTACTTTCTTATATATCCCAGAGAGCTCGAAATAAAAGATATCACAGGGTCTGTCACATACTTGGATGTTTTACTGACTGTAGATGATAAGGTTCAAACTTACGACTATATTATATGACAAACGAGATAATTTCAACTTTTCCATTGTCAAAATTTCTTATTTATGTTGACATATACCACTATAATCTGCAATTGATGTTTATGTCTCCATTCTATTCGAACCAAAGAGCTAGCTCTAAGTAAGAAAATTTTGTAAACGAGGCAGGCTTCTTTAAAATTAGCATTTTGAAAAGTCTATGGTCGAAACAATGACCATCGCGTCGTATTTTGACTGACATGATTGATGTTGATAGTTAAATCTTTGTATATATATTAAATTTGCTTTCTGATTACTCCATCTATCTGATCAATATACAAGATTTAAGGTTAGTGCGAATGGTCTACAGAGGATGCTCATTCCTCCTAGGCTCCGGATCCCAGCTCTGGAGTTTCCAGGGGTACGTGTTTATATCCTACAGTATTCCCAAATTTTGAATTAAATTTTCAAAAGAATATTGAGATCGAATACTGTTCGTAATCTCTACCTTCCATACGTCTACCTTTTTTTCATTGTTTAAAGAACAATTTCATTCAGTAATTGATTAAGCAAATCAATTTGTTACAGAAATGTTATTTCTGTGTTCATTATATTAATTGCATGTAAATCTTGAATATAAGAGGGTTTATTATAAGTTATTTGTATTTAAAAAAAATAACTTCAAAGAAAATTCTCTCTTGAGAACATGCTTAAGCTTATATCTTGATAGGTTATCAAAGTAATTTCGGAAAGAAAGCCTCGCGTCATATTTAAACTTTTTTTTCATTGGAATCTAAGGTTTTGTCTTGATGAAAATCAATGTTGGGAGTTTTTTAATAAAATTTAGACCAGAGATTCATCAGACTTTAAATAATTCAAACAGAATGCATGCCTTTTATCAATATAAGTAAATTTCATTTTTAATATGTGTTCTTTTAGTAATTAAAAAAACACAGCATAAACGTATCTATTTTTTTTTCCTCTGATAAGGTTAATATTCCCCCCTTTTTTCATTATTCATAATCATGTGTTCTTATTATAATAACAATACTATAAACGTATCTAATTACTTTCTCTGTAAGGTTAATGATTTAGGGTCGCTAAAAGCATTTCATACAACTACAGAACCTTGAACAGTGCGACGCATTTCCCTCATTGGATTGGTATAAGGGTTATGAGCTTCTTTCTGCAGTTCTTCATACATCCTGACTTTTGCTTTGAAATTTTCTGCAATTAGTACACAATGAACATAGAAAAAAGAAATTTAAAATTGACTGTATATTGCGAACATTATCAAAAAAGTGATTTCTTATGGAAAGTAAAGTAAAACTACAAATAAAACATAATATTCCTGACCGTATAATATTTAAATTTCTAATACTATGTCCAAAATCTTTACCATGGGAAAACCCTTCTTCACCTTTGTCGCCGGCCGGATTGTTCCCTAAACAAAGACGAATTTAATATAAACATTATATATATATATATATATATATATATATATATATATATATATATATATATATATATATATATATATATATATATATATATATATATATATATATATATATATATATATACTCAACACAAAAAAGTTAAGGGTTATGAAAATCTTCTATTATAATTTCTATATCGAAAAAGTATATTTAATGAAAAAAATAAATCACAAAGTTTCTTCTGTAAAATAAAAACAAATTTGATAAAAAAAAAAATAATAATGGTAACTAATGGTAAATGTTCACTCGCAAAGAAGATCAAGATTAAAAGTTATGGAAACCCTCCTAATCAGAGTGAATTTCCTTTTCCAGTAATTGCATAATTTAATTAATTCAAAAATGACAATTGATCCAACGAATGTCAATACTTTGTGTGGCTTCCCTTTGCTTAAAAAACAGCCCTGCATCGCCTGGGGAAACTTCAAATGAGTGAACGGATGGTCCTTGGGGAATGCGATCCCATTCCTTTAACAGAGCAACTTCAGGTTCTTTAGTATTGGATGGAGCAGGATCCCGTTGCTGAATTTGCCTCTGAAGAACATCCCGGACATGTTTAATAGGATTGAGGTCTGGTGACTTTAAAGGTCATTCCATTCTCTCGATAGTCTCTGCCTCAAGGTAATGGTTTGCGATGTTTGCTTTGTGTGGCCTGGCGTTATCATCCATCAAAAGAATTATGTTCCTATGGCTCCGGCAATTGGTCTCAGGATTGGTTGAAGAATCCCATCTCTATATCTGATACGGTCAGTGCTCAATTTCTGATGATGTACAACTCCGTGGACCCTTGAAGGGAAATGTTTCCTCGCACCATAACAGAACCTCCACCAAAGCGATCGTGTTGAGCAACACAGCATCACTGAAACGCTCATTCTTCTGTCTCCACACTCGACACCTTCCATCATTAAAATCCACACAGAATTTGGATTGTCTGTAAAGAGTACGGATCTCAAGTGACAGATTTGCAAATTTCCATGATCTCTTGCAAACTCCAGTCTCCTTACTCTGTGGTCTGCAGTCGAAATTAGGCGTGGCAGGCCGTCTTGTTTTCATATAACTTCATGAAGCCTATTCCTGCAAGTTTGATTAGAGATGTTTACTCCATGTGTATTGTGAAAGTCCCTGTTTAAGGCAACAGCCGAGTTAAATCGGTTTCGCTTTGCTTGCATTACAAGTTGGTGGTCCTGCCGGGCCGTCCTACATCATGGTCTTCTACTCCGAGGCCTTTCCCGGACTGATACTGTTTCCTGAAATCTCTGTCATGACCGATAAATGACGCTTTGTGACCTGTTCATCAATCTAACCACTGAATTCCCTGACTTTCCATTTTGACCCTAAGGTCCTACCGGCTTCCTGTACATTAAAAGATGCCTTCTTTGAGGCATCACATGTAATTCATTTGTGTTTAAAAGATGTTTAATTGTCCTTATTTATTGTCAGCATGAAGTATTGACAGTAGTTCATAAAGACATGCTTACCAATTTTACTCTGCAAAGCTGACTAGGGTTAAGACTTTTGCGTTTGGCTTCGAACACGAGGACTGATAAGTCAGTGAAGTGTAACATACAACATTTGTAGTTATGGTTAATCATGCACTACATTTTATCATAAATTTCAGAATTTAGATTTTTTGAATTTAGCTATAGTATACATAACCCTTAACTTTTTTTGTTGAGTATATATAGGGTTGATCAATCTCATAGACGGCGAAGCCTTTTTTTTTTTTAGTGACCCCACCGATCCCAGCCCCCGTGCTAAAACGGGCCTGCAAGAAGTTATGATCAAGATGTCTTCATTGAATGCAACATTCTTTTTAAATTCAAACTTTAAGTGTACCATTATCTTGGCCATTGTCAGTATCGTGTTTTGTCCTACTTCATTCAAACAAAATTCTTCAAAATTATCAACATTAATCTGACTTTTGGCCCTCAAGTAATCTTGATAAATCTTCGAGACATCTTTATTCACTTTAAATAATTTGTTTCTGCTTAGATTCTAATTCAAAACGTTTTCCCATCTTGCCGAGGTAAATTCGAATCTACCGTCATTTGTGATGCCGTCACAACAAATCTGAAGTCATTTCTTAAAAGGGCCGCTACTCTTATTTCAAAAACAAAACATTATAGAAAGTGCTTTTCGTAATAAATGATTATTAATATCGAAATGTAAACGCAACGCTTTGTTCATATTGCCAGTGAGATATCAATTCTCTCCTGTCGGACATAGAACTATATTTATGTGTCGCGTTCAAACCAATGAATGCGCGACAAATTTTAGTCAAAATGGAATTTTTTTTTATAAAAAATCATATGCGACCACAAACCATAGGGGATCCTATATATATCTCAACGAACTTGTGCCCATCCCGCTGTATTTATTTATTGCAATAAAATATGTTTAAATCATATCTCAACGTGTTATGGACACTACTCATACAATAAACTTATACTTCATCCACGGTTATGCTTTATCATTAGCACTTTCTGTTTTGACAATCTCTCGCTTTAAGATATAAAGTGATTAGAACCTCGATCTATTTGTGAATATTCCTGCACTATATATTAAACAAAAATGAGCAGAAATGTTCATACAAACATGAAAGATTCAATATTCCTCAATGAAATGTCAAATGTTACCAAGACATTGTACTGGCTTCTGCGTTGACGGATCCCCATTCCCACCCACACCCTCCCTCTCCCAATCGTTTTCCTGGGTTACGTTAGACCTAGCAATTATGTTGTTGGTGAAAGATTCCTTTGATCCTACCGGGAATTCTAGCCCTTTCAACAATGCTTTCTTTCATTATACTTTTAGCATTTAAATTTTTTTGTACGTCTATTAAGTTCACTAGCACTAGTAGGATTAATCATTCCTCGATCCTTATTCTTGCAGTAATTATCCAAATTTTGCATGAAATAAATGTCAAAAAATTGTCACATATGTTTTAAATTATTCCAAACTTTAATATTTTGTGTGTACAAATAATTAACATTTTTTCTGCGTTTCAACGTCAACAGGGCAACGTCATCATTGAATTTACGCGTCGTGAATTTGGGCGGAATATAGTCAACATATATAGATTTACAAGGGTTATTTCAAAGTTTTGTTTAAAACTAAAATCGTATAAAATAAAGAGAACAATTTTAATTGAGTAATTTCATATTTTCTATATCAACCCATCAAACTCGTTGATGGGCAAGCCACTCAAATATACACCATATCAAGTTGTTGGATAAAGGAAATATAGAATCAAAGATATTGCACATGAAATCATAATCATTTAATTTCTATAAAATAATTGATTCTGATTGGATAAAAAATTCTTTTGATAACTGCATCAATAGAATTTGGAGTTCGCTTGCACTTAGCAGCCGGAACTACTTTGGCTGACTTTACATGTATATTTCCCGCTTCCAGAAGTTCATGAAGGAACAACTAATACTTTTTCTCTAATAGATATTTTCCTGAATTTCGAAACTTGTCCGTTACGTTCCTGACTTATTTTCTACTTTCGTTTCTTTTTGAATTATCCCCCTTTGCTAAACAAATCAGATCGTCTGCATGACAACAATACAGTAAAGGGAAAGAAGGAAAGAAATCAGCATACCTATGTTAAATGTTTGACTTTGAAATAACTGGTATGAACAATAGAACTGTGAAGAAATGTTTTATGCTACCAAAGCGGGGAAATGCCGTTAATCTGTTAATTCTTAGGAATCGAATGATCAAGAAAAACGACACAGCATAAATGAGGACGGAAATCTTTCAATGTTAAACAGCAGGCAACAGACTCTTTCAGATTTTACAGCATGGACAGTTTGTGATACATATTCATATGTTCGGTTTGAAATTCAGATGAAGAGATGCGCAAATGAAATCCAAAATTTCTGTGACCTATAGAAAGAGTTGTTAGGATATCTGAGTAGCATCCCTTTAAATTTACGAACCTAGATAGCTTACCGGGGAAAATATGCCCATTGGGATATAGCAAAAAATTAATAACACAACAGGTAAGTTTTTTTGTGTTAAAGAACTGTTAACTATTGTTAGAAAAGGTTGATAGTGACACGACAATATTTAAGAACGTTGTTTCATCGTAAGGCCTATAGCCATTTTGAATTTCAGCAACATTGTTGTGATATATTCCTACGCAGTTTTTGATGCGTAAATTTTATAGTAAACTGAAGGGGAAAGTTTCATTCTATTATTTTAAAATCATAATTAAATGATAAGAAATGAAAGTAATATTTTTCTCTTTGACCGACGTATCAAAGAAAAAATTTGGACAGAAAACGTTTTCATCAATGCGCTACGCGCATTGATGACGTTTTCCGTCCAATTTTTTTCTTTGATACGTCGGTCAAAGAAAAAAACATTACATTCATTTCTTAAATCATTAATGTAAAATACAGATTTTATATATATATATATATATATATATATATATATATATATATATATATATATATATATATATATATATATATATATATATATATATATATATATATATATATATATATATATTAGGGATGTCGAATCGGTCAATTTTTGATAATCGGTTACTCGGACGTTTTTCGGATCGAGAACCCGGGTACTGGGTAAAAAATGTAAATACAAGAATATCAATTTTCTTGAGCCCTGTTAAGCTCAAAGTTGTTTTTATCACGTTTATAAATGTATATAAGCATTATTTCCAACGGAAACGATTTTTTGGTGTTAAATTTATTTATCAAAAACAAAAGATACAATTAATACATCAAATATTACAAATGGTTTACAGTTCTTGTTTATAGGATCCATTTCACCAAAAGGAGGACAATCTGTTACTCATGTTTGTGGTGTTTAGACTAGCGAAAGAGAAGGACCGACCGTTGTTGGAATCCCTTGTCTGATATTTCATATGTTGATTGTTTCCCACGTATACACTAAATTTACATTGCATACTGACTTTCAACATTCTTTTTAATCTTTAGATATTTTTAAATATTTCTTCACTTTTGAAGTGGGTAGCGGTATTTCTATGCGTGTCCGATTTCGTTGCCGTATATTAACTAAATAATTTTAAAATGATTTGAAGATTATAGACCATCGATGTTCACTGAAAACAATCATTGAAACCATCTAAAAATTAAGGAGCACAATAAGTGAGAACAGCTGGGTGATTGGTCACAAATTACTGTATATATACAGCCACAGGCGGTAACGGTGTGTTACAAGTGTAGATGACGACACGCAAATTACTGTATGCATATTTAAGTTAGTTTTTGGATAAGTTTTTGGTAAAAATATTTACTTTGAAATAAGAAAAAATACACATCCGAGTAACCGAGTACCATTTTTAGTATTCGATCGAGTACCCGGGTACTCGTTGACATCCCTAATATATATATATATATATATATATATATATATATATATATATATATATATATATATATATATATATATATATATATATATATATATATATATATATTATGCTCTTAAATATTAGATAGATACAAACTTTTTGCAGTGATCTTGTTCAAAATCTTTACTCTCTTCCCTTTTGTAAGACCAAGCCCTTTTAGGTCATCGTCGCTCATACATTTCAATGCTTCTAAATCTATGTCTTCTTTTCTAAAAGTTTCTATTTCATCTTGTAATCCAATTGTCTTTAGTAGGGTTTCAATTGTTTCGTTGTCCATGTTCTGTCAACTGTCTAAAAAAGAGAAATTTTATTTATATTTTTCAACAAAAAATAGAGTCCGACAGATTTGTTCTGGAAACGAAATGATTGTCATATACTGTACGCAGTAAACCCTGAAGGCCGTACCAGCCGTGTTGATCACGTGCCAATCCCAAATATTGCTGAATTGTTTACAGATCTTTTTTCAAAACGTTTTCACCTCTTATGACATTTTTAAAATTGTATAGAATCTAAAAAAAGATTGTATAATAAATACATAAATATGTGAGTTGAAACTGTAAAAAATATGTTTATGTACTTTATAATTAGTTTTGCGGACTCATTTTTCTATATGTTTGCATCTATTTTTCATAAAATAATA